GCATCGCAGTTAAGCAAACGCCTGTGGTAATCTATTAACGGGGACATGGAAGGGAAGAGAGTGTCTTTGTTCTCGTCTTTGCTGCTACGTGATAAAAAGGCCAAAGAGTTTGGGAGTTTTGTATTTGTCTAAATTTTTTGTCCCTCCGAGCGTTTTCCCCATATGTGATACATTTCAGATTTTGTCCAGCCGAGCTTTGATGGAGGACTCTGGGGAAGACTGGCTATCTAGAGGGATTAGGAGTTTTCAAGAAACTTTTTCTAAAAGGGCAAAAGGAATGGGAGGCTCATATTGAAGGATTTGTATTAGCTACAGCCTGAATTGAGCTGAGCAATGTTTTTTCAGCTCATTTCTGTGTCTGTATTTGAAATATTTGCTTTTCTGCTGTTTTAGCCTATGAGATTCTTTCTTTTTGTGGTACCGGGGCTTTTTTTTTTCTTAGTAGTAGTATAAGCAATTAGCTGTAGGAACATATGATCCACCAAGGCTTTATTTTTTTGAAGTATGAATTATGTATACTGTGCCAAGAGCCTGTTAAAAAGAGCCTAACTAAATGTATGAATCCTGATTTCACATTTAGCATTGTGGTGTTTTGACTGGTTTTGTTTTTTGGTCGTGTTTGGTTTTTGATGTGGAGTCTGCTTCCTGCACTAACGAACCGAGTTCAATTACACACAGTCCAGCAGCAACATCCTCTGGAGCAACACTCTGGCTAACAGCAATGAAGTCCATGGCACTGCTGCTCCTAATGGACATAAAATGGAGGGAATAAAAAAAATCAGAGTATCTCTCCAGCACAGAGTGATCACACACTGCAGGCAAAATGTCAGAGCCCTGAGGAGGTACTTCAGGATCACTGGGCAGAGGTGCAAGGGTCTTGGGGACCATGGCTCCCACTTCTCCCTTGGTCCCACCTGCTAAGAATCCAGCTCTCGCCAGCACTGGGGTTATTACCCTTGTTTTATGAATTAGGAGACCGAGGTAAATGCAGCTGCAGTTACATTTGTGGTCATCCACTGCCTCAAGGATAGGGACAGGCTGGGAATTTGGGTCTTCCTCACCCATGTCCCATGCTGTGGCTGCAGGCAGGCTCGTGTGAGCTCCCTCCCTCACTTTCAGGCATGCATCTCCTGCCGCGAACCATCCAGCTCAACAAAACTTCTTGTGTACAAAAGCCAGAGAAACTCCTTACAGGAGCCCGAGGCAGCTGTGCATCGCTGCTGAACCTCTGCCACATGCCATGCAGCATCTAACCTAGGGCCCGAAAGTGCCTGGTGTCAAAGTCTGTCACTTCTGCCTGTGAATTGCTAAACACGTCCTCTCCGCTGCAGGCTCACAGCATGCCATGGCCAGGGGACTCTGCTCCTCCAGCTCCATGGGGAAGGAGCAGGAAGAAAACATAGCTGGAATCGTGTTTATTAAGCAAATTAATAGGTTGGGAAAAAACTAGCCGCGGTGTGGGCACGCTTTCTTCTCGCCTTCTGCAGAAGCGGGGGCTGGAAGCTGAGGCAAGTGACGAGTGCTCGACAGTGCATCCCCTCTCCGCTCCCCATCATCTTCTCTTTCTCTGCTGGGGGGCAAACCGCGGAAGGGCCGAGGGCTGGGGCCGTCACACTCGCAGCCCCCGACGGGGCTCCGGCTCCCCCGCCGCACCTCAAATGCTGGTGTAATACCGGTGTGGGTGCCCGGAGCCCTGCTGGAGTCCGACGTTGCCAGCTC